ATTTTTTTACTCGTAATTAATGTTGCCCAAATGCGAGACCAAGACTTGTCTTGGTCTTGAGCACTTAGTCTCGGTCTTGCGCAACATTCTTGCAGTTAACTATTAGCTAATTACTATAGAGATATTACTGTAATTTTTCAAGTAGGGGAAAACTAACTAAGCCCAAATGAAAAATTGGAAGAGTCAAATGTAAAAGTATTTTGTTCATACTAATTCTTTGCATTTAGTAACTAAAATTTTCAAGTATTAGTAAACATTTTGCCTTAATTTTTATCCACCAAAACGATTTTTTTTTACCAGTCATGGTCAGGGTCTTGCAACAGTTAGGCAGTCTTGGTCTTGATCTTGTAAAGTGCAAGAACAAGACCGGTTTTGGGCTACACTACTCGTAATGTTCTGATATGTTGCGAGTAAGGCACTGTGCTACTACTCTCTTTGGACCGGTTTCTATTCAGGATGTGGGAGGTAATTATTTATCAGCCATTCCTTACAAAGTACTGAATCCAAGACCCTCCATGGGTTGTAATGTTATTCAGGTTGATTGTATTAATTATTTTTGGAAAAGTAAAAATTTTGATTAGTTGTTAAAATAATTCGACCATCATATTCTGTACTGATAGCTAGTTATTTTATAAAAAGAGGAATAATGTTAAGCCAATACCTACGAACCTGTGGATATCAGTTCTTGGAAATTGAAAATAAAAAATTATTTTAACAAAGTTTTTTATACCTAAAAGTACTTAATTTTGGAATTATAAATTTTCAATATACTTAAAACTCATACAAACAGAATGCAATATATCTCGGCGATACGATATTCTTATCAGAAGTGATATAGTTGTATTACTATCTATTGAATTAGAGCAGTAACACAGTGCAATAATCCACATAGATACCGACAAAGGATATCCTATCCCGATACATATCGCGTTCTTTGTACAGGAGCCTTTACATTCAAGAAAATGTTTTAGCATACCCAATTCTAACATAACTATTCATGAAGTAGTTAAATTAGCAGGTTATTATTATTATTATTGATTGGGTATTATTACTTATTATGAATTGTATTTATTGATTTGGCATTTTGTAGCAAATGTTACAAAGTATGAGACTATGATCAATGGTCTCTATTAATTATTACTTTAACCAGAAAATTGGAATGTTTTCTATACATTTCAAATATAGAGTGTTTTTCTCGATTCTTAGCCTGATGACGAACAACGAATTTTCTAAAATATCTCCACCATAAATAGAGATTTCGAAAATATTAATTCCCAATCTTTGGGAACTAAGGTCCCAAGTGAGTTCCGATATTTAATTTATTTAATACCTCAAAAATGAACATTAATGTAGCCTAGTATTGTGAATATATTTATTATGTATTTTATATACTATATTAATTATCATTAGTATCAGAATACTAGAATAGAAAAGATCCTTCTCGTGCCACAGAACTATCCTAAGACCAATGAACCTATGGTTAACGAATCCTTAAGTATATTCAGTTCTATTTCTGTGCCAAATTTCTTTTTTTTTTTTTATATATTAGTCCCACTCAAAAGCGACGGAACGCAAACTGAGGTGCCAGTTCGTATTTGCCAAGATGAAGAGTCTGATCAAGTTGGCGTCGGCTGCACCGTCTGAACCTGGAGTTAATAATATTTTTTCTTTCCCTCTATGTCTCTCTCTTCCTCTCATATTTGAAGAGTAGGGAAGACGAAAAGAAATATATAATCATTATTCCCTTTAAAAATTAATTATAGTCTTCATTTTTATAAAACTTCATTTAAAAAATCGATTCATACGATTAATATTGCACCTCACTATCAATAACTTAATTTTTTTTTTATATTTTATGTTTTAATGAACAAATTAAAATATTCATTGCTGTACCATCCATACAGTATCATAATTTTTATGTAAAAAATAAATGATCAATTTTCGAACATGTCTTTGATACGACAGAAAGCCGTAAATCCAACATCTGAATCTGCGTACCAACTTAGACCAAATTTAGAAATAGATTAGCATAATAAGCATGTTATGTTATAACAAGCGCGAATATACCTTTATTCTCTCCTTCAAAGGTATTGAAATCTCCAAAAAAGATCTAGTGATTAGATCTTATTTACGTTAAGACGTACATTTCTATGATTACAAAATGTGTCTCCAAATTCAACATTAATACAACCGATGGGAAGTAGAATTACTGCTCTTTTAACATATATCGATAATTTTATTCCTTTACAAGCTAGAAATAAACTACAATAATAATGGCTGAAGCTTTTCCAAAATGAAAAAAAAAAAAAAAATATATATATATATATATATATATATATATATATATATATATATACATATGTATATATATTTCAGCTGCTAAAGTATAAACAATATTATTCCTAAAATCATACAAAAAATATTGTTCCTGTTATTACGTTTATTTTTTTATTTATATATATTTTTCGCAGGTCTTCAGGTACTATTTAAACATTTTTTTTTTAATTAACATTTAAAAAAAATCAAAGATTTCTCCAAAAATTAAATCTTGAATGTTTACTGATAACAGGTGTATTGAGAATATCAACTTCCATCGATAAAGATCTACTACATTAAATTCTTAATTGACTGGTCTTTAAAAATACTGCATATATGTAAATTAATTTGTATTTTTTTTTTTTTTTTGTCCTACATATTATCGAACTTCGGTTACCTTTGAATATCTCCTCCCCCTTACCCTCTCTAAGAAATTTTAATCAACTACTGTATATATTGGGTGACCTTTTAATATGAAAGAGTCATAAATGAAAGTGTGGTTGGAAGAATTCTAAATTAGCGAGACTGTAAAGGCGAGATTCGAACTTGAGCCCTTTCTGATATCCGATCAGTTACGGAGTTCCACGAACAACGAACCCGTATGTGATCCTCACGTTTCCATCGCCTCCTTCATTTACATTCTCCTAAAACTAAAAGACTGCTTTCGTGTGAATCGTCGGATCGAGTTACTCTAATTTCCACCGCATATCTGCAACGGCTCGTTACCGATCTTCGTCCGCTTTCTCTGGTTCACGATCGTGGTACCGTCGACCTTCCTTCTTATGATTACGAAGCCGATGGCGGAGATTAAAAGGTTCAGCAGAAGGCCACCACTACAATGGGACGATTTCCTTGTTCCATTGTGATATGAAACGTCATATTTTATTTATAATTATTAGAGAGTAGCCCTGTCCGCACGACGGAGGACCAACCTCCATTTTACAAATTATACAACTGTTCATTTAATTGTGCTACTCGTTGCTAAAATTGTAATTTACATGTATTCTTTAGTTCAGATTGTATTATTTTTTATCAACATAAAATAAACAGAACGAAACAACGATTCGGAAAAAAGTTTTAATTTCCTTAAAAACTATTATATTATACGTCGCGCCTTATTGCCAATTTTTAACCATAATAAGGGAGAAATAATTCTAGGAATAACAATTCTGGTGTCTTCGGTACGGTCCGTCCCTTTAGTGTTTTTGTTACTGTTCTTGTTTGTGACTTTGTATATTTAAAATAAAATATGAAACATTCATTAAAAACGTTAATAGAGAGATTTTATCATCCATCATCAGTAAAAATTAAAATTATTTTCGGCTTATTTTGCTGGATTATCAGTTTTCTAACTGTAACTAACAAAGATTTCTTTACAATCCTTATTCGCATGTTCAATAAATATGCATTGTTTTCAACAAAAATGAAAGGTCTGTGTTATATCATCCTGATTAGCATAATGACATTGAAATATTTAATTTCTTTGTTTATATTACGGCTGTTTCTCCATTATAACAGGTTCTATAACAATAAATATTAAAATTATTTTTAAAAATAAAAATAATTTTACCTTAGAAAGGTATTAAGTAAATTTTTTACTCTGAGATACAGACCCGTTTTTATCAAATTATATTTACATCCATCTAAAACTTCGTGAGAGACTTCAGCTTTTCATAACCTATAACTTATTTACTGACGAAAATTCTTGTAAATAGTGCGTTTTACATCTGAAGATCGGTAAACTTTTTCTATTGAATGAGAAGTGAAAAACTCAAAAACACTCATTTGCTTTCCATTAGAATCGTAATAATGATTTCATCACAAAATGGAGAAAAAGGCGGTCTAGAAAACGATTAGCTCGTTCGGCGTGACCTCCGCCCTCATATAAAAAAAACGAGGTTATATAGGCCAAACGGCCCAATATTTTTGTAGATCACCCTTTTTCTCGATTTTGTGATCAAATTATATTACTATTTTAGAGGAAAGTCATTGGTTATGCGTATGAAATGAAGACTAATTTCCTAATTCTTAAATTAATCGCCCCATCCATCTTGAATTTGGTATTTTAGGTATAAAACAAAATCCTTCCTCTTTCGCGATGGCTTAGAGTAAACTTCATAAAACAGGAATATAATAAAATCTGTAGTCCATATTGTTCACATCATTATATTGGTAGGAATAAGATTAGGAGAGAGTTATTTTATGAAATTGGAGTATTAATAGATTTAATTATTGTAATTTTTTATTTAGTGATACCTTCTTTAGCCACGTTTTACAATTTTTTGTGGAGAATGAATTATATTGAGCCGTCATATTTCTGATGAGTAACGCACGGGGTTATGGCGGCTGGAGTGGAATTGACGTATGTGAATAAAATTGAAGTGTTTTTGCATATGGAATAAAATATCTCGGAAACTAAAAGTCTGACCTGTATATTTTAAGCGAGGGAAATGTTCAGTATTAGATCCTCTTTATAATAAGCTATTATTTATAATTTATATTTCATATTATTAATCTCGTCTTGTTGATATTTTTACTTGTATCGTGTTGTCTAAAGCAATCACTTCTTTATTTTTTATACAGTTTAAAATTTTAATAAATATTAAAATCAAAAAATTGAATATTTATGTTTTGCTTTTTGGAGTCTATATTTCGGACCCTATTACCTGTCGACCTTAGAGATAATTCGAGTTTTGATCATTGGTTTTAGAAAAACTAGTTGAGTGGGTTCCGTCGCCTTAGTAGATATACTTGAATAGCTAATAGCGGATAATATCCGAGCTCTGAATTCTACCATTCATTTCATGGTGAGCGAGTGCCGCAATTAACTGTTAGGAGCCTTGAGCTCGCTGGGAGCAGACAGCCCAAACATGCCGGACGAGACCATAAGGTACTGAGAGAGGAGACAGACAGACAGACAGACAGACAGACGTGCTGACCAAGCGGATTGCAGTTCGGCTCTGACCCCGTTGACTCACTGACTCCGGAGTAGACGCGGCAAGGACGACCAGTGTCCCTTCCGCTTCTCTCTTCTTCTTGGTCTTCGCCTTCCAATCCATGGAATGCCAGGAATCGTGTTTACTTTAGCACCTTCCCGAAGTGATTACGCAATGCTCTCCTCTCTATAGGCATGTAAAACAAACGAATCATCGATTTGAAAAGTGCAATTCATCTTAGTCAGCGAATTTAAGCGGAGACCAGGAATGCAGGGACACGGAGGTCTTGCTCTCTTCCTGGATTTTCGTCATCATCATTTTTATATCCAGTGTGTACGTGTGTCCATTAAGAGTGTACGTTAAAAATGGCTACTTTTCAAAGCCTCTAGAATATTTCTCTTAATATTTTTAAAAATTATTTTCGTGAGTCACATACGACGAAATTACGGATAATCAAAATTTTATTTCAGTCCGTTTTTGTTCTAATAACAACACAATGATTTAAATGTATATACATCTATACCTATAGTCCAGTCAATGAATGATTATAGAAGGAAATGGCGGCGATTTTTGACTTTGGGACGTTGTTTTGACTAGTAAGGAGGTAAACATACTAAAAGTATCCACTCCTAGGCGGTGAGCCAGATGTGGGAGGAGGCGCCTAGTAGGTCACTTTTTTCGGGTTTCCGCTTATATCAGGAAAACTATCCATCGCATTGACAAAGACGTTCTATATAAAATTAAAGCTGATAAATTTGCAATAAGATTGATCATATATCTCTTTTCGCTATCTCGCTTAGTTTCCGAGATATCCGTCGTCAATCATGGCTAATTTTGAAGAAGAAAAAAAAATGCTTCGTGTTTATTGCTATTCTTCGAGTTTTCGTTTATATCAGGAAAATTATCCATCGCATCGACAAAGAGGTTCTATATAAAATTAAAGCTGATAAAATTTGCAAAATGATTAGATACCTTTTTTTCGCTATCCCGCTTAGTTTACGAGATAGCTATCACTAATGTCCAAAAAAAATGTTTTATAGTTTTCCTGATATAAGCGAAAACCTGAAAAATATTTACCTTCTAGGCTTCACTCCCCCTCCCTCCCCTCCTCCCCACACCTGGCTCATCACCTAAGAGTGGTGTTTTTGGTATGTTCACCTCCTTAGTAGTCCAAACAATGTCCGAAAGTCAAAAATTGTGTCGCCGCCATTTCCTTCTATACCCCCCTTTCGAGCATTCATTGACTGGACTAATAAAAGAGAGATGAATTTTACTAAGTTATAGTTCACTGTATCTCAAAACTGATAACATCTATAAGATCATCTAACGATTAAATTTTAATTGGTACTTCAACTTATGCTGTAGATCTGCAATAAGATCATGTTTGGAAAAAATCGTAATTTAAGTTGTTATGATTATTCATAAGTGGAATAATAATAATTATTTATTTCCTAAAAATAAAAATTTTTTTCTTAATAACTCGAAAACTTTGCGTCGTTTTGGCAAACTATAGGTACTTATCTAAAATAAAATAAAATTTTAATAAAGCATCTAAATCTGACAAATATTAGCAAGGATATAGAATATTTTGTTTCTACTAGAATTTTATTCACATTTCAGTAGAAGTCGTTCAACTTATTTACACATGATTTATAGTTTTCCATATCATAACATAAACTTAAGAGCCTTAAATTAATGTATATATATATATATAAATTAATATATATATATATATATATATATATATATATATATATATATATATATATATATATATATATATATATATTACTTAACAGGCCTAGTGGTTTTTTTTTTTACCTAATCCCAAATTTCTGGAAAAATTCTTTATCAACCTGTATATTTATTTTTAAAAAAAACACTGAAAAATCCAGAAATGGAAAATATCTGATTGTTATAAATTTTTTCGTTTTTTATTTTTTATTTCAATGTTTATTATTTTCGACCACAGCCCTTCTACAGCCCTATTCCCTTCCTATTTTATCGCTTTCCTAATTAATTCATTATAAAAACATTTCTTGTTAGCTATAGAATCAAAATACTTCAATTACGAAAATATTGTAATTCAATAAAAAAATACGTCTGATAGAAAGAGTTTTCAATTATTTATTTTTTAAATTTATTTATTTTCTTATAACGGTACTTGTTAATGTGTTATTCCGACGAGACATCAAACCCATTAAACTGTCTCCGTAACGTTTTCTCAGCAACTGATGCCTTGGGAATCCCATTCGAAAGTGAGCCGCTACATAGTCAATGTTGACAAATATCCAATTCCTAGTTTCCCACCTTTCTTACGTCAGCATTATAACACATTTACGACTATTCTTTTTTTCTGGCGTATTTAAAATAAATAAATAAAATTAAAATATTAACTTTTATCAATCAAAAAGGAAGTGCGCTGAATTTTTGAGTAACGAATATTCAAGGGACATGATAAAGGTAGGTATAAAAAGTTTTATTGGCCCTAAGTCAATACGGTGTTAAAATAACAAAAAGTAAATCGTTATCTTTATCAAAAGAGTTTATAGTATATAGTCAGCATGGGGTGCCTAGTTTATTTGAAGAAAAAAAATATATAAATATAAATAAAACTCATGGAAAATGCAATTTTAAAAATAAAAATTAGTAATCGAGATTGAATGAAAAAAATAAATATAGATATATAACGTTTTTTGCCTTAAATTTAATATTATGGAGTTACCCTCAGGACTGAAAACCGGAGTGAACCACCCCCTCTTATAATATGTCTGATGTTTGGGTTCTAATATTAGCTTAGATTTATTTACTGTACTTAGTTTTATTCAGATTGAACTTGCTTGTACATTTAGAATGGTATAAACGTAGGTGCGACTACATACATTCATATAATACGCAAATCGAATTGAAGATAATGGCTGAATTTCCATTTCAAATTACGTCAATTGTGCTCTGTAAGAAGAACTCAGAGAATGACTTGAATTTATTAATAATTATCGTATTTGCTTTTTCGCTTTCTTGTTATAATCTAAAACTGAAAATATATATTTGTCAATACGACAAAAGTTTAGGATATATCTACACAACAGCAAATGACCAGCGACAGAAAAATGTATTTCAAATTAACTCTAAAATTCATAAGAAAAAGATATGGGTCGTTATCAAATTCTTTTCGAAGTTAATTTTTTTATTTTTTCATAAATAATTCATTTTCATAAATAAATTCACAACTATGGGTCATATCTATTTTATTATCTGCATGTGTTAATGATTTTCGCTTTTTTTTTTAATTATTGTAAATGTTTTTTTTTTTCTGTCAAATAATTTATTTTGACACACTTGAAGGAACTGTTATAGTTGTTATACGTTATCTCATTCATACCATATTTGCGGATTGTAGAAAATAAAATAAATATTTAAAATATGATAAAAATTAGTATATAATAAAAAGTAATTGAATTTCATAAACTTTATTAAAACAAAATAAGGATTAAAGTAAAACAAAGGAATTAAAGTCAAATTAGAATAAAATAAATTATCTTGAACAAATAAATATTCATCATTTTATTGAACATTGTAATTATCGTTTATAAATAAAACTGTCCTCAGTTATCTCAAATATTAAAAACAATTTTTATTTTTAAATAATCCATATTTTAGTCCATTCAGGCAGAATTGGTACATTTAATATGGAGACTTACCAGTTAGACATGATTAATTCGATAACATTTAGATATAATTGCAAAAAAAATAATAATGTTAAAATAAAATTGATAATAACACAATCACTATATGAAAATTGGCGATCAGCTCCACACACCATGTCAAAAGTAGTCTGTTGCCTGGAAATACTTATTGACGATCTAACTTTTATTTATTTTTTACTAATTTGATTTTAATATATTAATTTATTAGAATGAGAAGTTGTTTGGAGTTTCGGTCATTCATAAAATTACACACAAATAAGAAGTATTATTTTCCGTAACTTTTAGGACTTCATCAGGAAGAAAATACTTCAATCAATAAATTATAATATAAATGATAAATTCAAAACATAAATACCTTGAGTTTCTAACATATAGATGAACAGTTGAAGCGGTGTAACGCGTATTTTGCACACATGTTGCGCGGTAATCTGTTAAATCAAAGATTTACATGATAAAATAATTACTTATTAATTAACGAGGGGGTGTTGTGAGGGGAAAAGGGCTTTTATGGGGTAGTCAGTCTACGCCCGGTCGCTGCGAGTTCCCTCCAGTAGGCTGACGGGTCTCATATACCCGGGGTGAGATCTCGGGCAGCGTGGCTCTCCTTGGTGGACAGTCACCCAAGTCGGCCGGTCACCCGTCCAAGTGCTAACCACGCTCGGAGTGTATATTATCCTAATATATACATACAAAAAAAAATCCTTTGGGCTGAAGCCCCTCCCCTCCCAAAATTAAATCCTTGATCCGTTAGTGGTCCTGATGTTACCAGATTTGGCGAAAGGTTGAAAGATTAACTGTTCTCCTGTCTGTATGTTACAGACTCGAGGCTTTATGATTTTGAATTCTCCACTAATGTCATAATTACTCTATGTCTCTTTTGGATCGATCACCACTTTTATAATAAAAATAAGTTATATTAATTTATCAATCTATTCCATAACTTTATGTTATTGTAATCAGAAATAAATTTTTGATAACCAAACACAAGTTATTTTTGTATGTATGTAAAAAAGTATCGGTTCCTTTTGTGAGGTCACGATGATGTATTTAAATTGATATACATTTATTCTTTGTCTTTCTGTATACTTCTGTTATTCTCATAGAAAATATCCCAGAGAAAAGTGATTTTCTATTCTGTTCCATTTCTTTGTATTGAGTATTTCAGAAGCCGCGCCATGGAATCTTGGCTTTATTCAGATTATATAGTATATTGGCATATAAGAAAGTCAGTTTCTATTTTTCATCAATTATTGATTTAAATAGTGTTGTACTTCTTTTCGATGTAGCCAACGAACCCGTCTTCATCTTCAGCAGTTAGTGTTTGACCACATCAAGCCCGTAAGAGTCGCTTGGGCTTCTTCATCAGAAGCCCGATCGTGATTCATCCGCTACAGACCGGAAGTTGTGGGAACCCTTTGGAAGAGACCATTATTATCCCAAGAAGGGCCTTAAAATGAAACCGGTGAAGGG